CCGCCCCCTGCCCGCCCCGGGGGTGCCGGGCCAGCCGGGCCCGCCGGCCCCCGCCTCCTCCTGCGTGCCCTCCCTCAGAGGGGCCGCGCCCCCCGAGGGCCTGCGCAGGCCCGGGCCGACCCCCGCGGACAGCACGGGCTCGGGGGCGCTTCTTGCCCCGGGGCCGGGCACCGAGGTGGAGGAAGATGCCGGGTAGGGGCAGGGCTGAGGGGAGGAGGGAAGGGGCGCCGGCGTTGCTGTAGCTGAACGAGATGCCTCGGGGTGCAGGAGATTGGCTTGTGGGGCTCAGCTGGGCTGGGCAGCGTCTCGGTGCTGGTGAAGAGATGACCCCTTGGGGCACCGTGCCCGTGCTCGTGGCACAACGGCGAGGCTGCAGAACCTCCCTGCAGCACAGTCCGACACCGAGCTGCACCCAGTCCAGTGCCAGCGGCATCTTGTGGAGCCACGACACTAATCCTAAAGATCCAGGTTTATATTAAGCAATATTTACATTGTACCCTTCATCCCAGCTACTGTTTGAGCGAGCTGAGCCTCACATGGCTCATGGTTCAGCTCAGCGTAGAGAATAAATTTGTGGTAATCATGGTTTAAGGGCATGGCTTTATAGGTAACTGCACCAATGAGGATAGCTGGGAAAAGATGGGTTTTCTGATGCTCACCCCCTTCTTTGGGACCTCTCCATGTACATCTCTAAGGATCCCTGGGGATGAACAGTGACTTTCAAGTTTGTTAGACAAGGAAATGCCAGATGGCCAAGGGAGAGAGGAAAGTCACAGGTACTTTGAGTTTAGAAACAGAATTGTTTTCAGCAGCACAGGAATACTAAATACCTTATTGAATGCTTTGCGAGTTTAGAAAAGTTATATAGACTAAATACCACCTCTGCTTCCTCCTTCATTTCTGCATCAATGTGATCTCTCAGTGCAATGCTGCATGGGCTCAGAGGGGTTTGCTGATCACAGGGATTTGGCATTTATAACATCCATATTCTCTGTTTTGGATCTGAATGGGTGAAAGCATCAATGTGGGAGAATCCAAGTGAAAAGCTGAGGGTGGTGTCTGGTAGGGAGCACACCATGGGTTCTGTCAGGATGTGGGAGACAGAGTGCATGGATCAGTCATGGTCTTTGGAAATAATACTACACAGACACACAGGAGTTCTGCTCTGGGATCTTGATTGCCGTCTGGGAGGCTGCAACTCTCTGAGCTCAGTGTTTGCAGAGAGTGTTTACTATTTAGTGTTTACCTTCCTGGTTCTAACAGATGACACCTGCAACTGTTGACATGTTTTTGGTCTTTGAGATAAGGATATTTTCTTATAGTTGCTATTCATCCCTCGCTCTAAGGCCCAGCTGTACACGGTGCTTTCTATACGTGTGATGCTCTGCTTCAAATGCAAGGCCTGAAGCTTCTCATGGCAGCAGAAAGAGTTGCTGCTTGAGTATTTTTTTTGCAACAGTGGTAATCACCCATAAACTTTACAGCACCAGGCATCGAAGAATGTTTTGCCTCCTAACTGAAAATGAAAGGCATCACAGGGATTAACATCTTCTCAAACACTGGAAGAATTAGGATAGCACAGGACTTGGGTTAATCAAATGTTTTGCTGAGCCAACAGAAAGAGCCACCTTCCTTGTAAAGCCAGAGCTACAGGGAGAAGAGCCTCACTGACGGGTGTAATAACTGAAATAACTTCAGGCTGACATCTCTGCAGACAACAGAAAACAAATGAGCAGCGTGCCTGTTACTTTGCTAAACCAACACTGAAGCTGAGAGAAAGGTTTTAGTTGTAGAGGTGTTGTCATCGTGACTGTTTTTGGTCTCATTTAATATGTCATTTATAAACAGGCTCAAAAATGGTCTGCTGTTGGTATATTCAGAAAAGACTTCTTAAGTATTATTGAATCTTTCTGAGAAATAAATAACATGCTTTCACTGGAAATAGCATGTAATTACCTTCTTAACAATTTTAAAATGGAAAAATTATAACATTCTCTGTCTTCCCCTGTGGAGGAGTGGTTCCTTCATTTAGATTATATGTTTTTACATTTTGTCTGTGAATGCACTATGATTATAGATGCAGAAAATAATTGAAGGAAGGTCAAAATACATACATTTTGTATTCTTTTGTAAGGATTGTGATTGCTTCTGCTGCAGTAGCTGTGGGGAACTACAGCCAGGGTTGGAGTTTTACTGTGTTGGATTCAATGTAGACATAGGAAAGAGCCCTAAAAGAAGTCCCTCTGTCTCAGTACAGAACTTAATTTAAAATGTGATGAGTGTCTCCTGAATTCCTCAGCCTTGCAGTTCCATTTTCCTGTTATAGGCAGCTGATGTGAAAAGGCAGAGCTGTGGGGTCTGTGTCTGGTGAAGTCTATAGGCGTGGGGCTGACAGCAGACTCGAGCTGAACTGTTTGCTCAGCAGCAGGCCTGAACGGGGAAGGCAACAGGAAAGCTTATGAGATGTGCTGATATATTTGATCAGTTTCTAAAGATTCTGAAGTGGAGCAGCAAGGCCAGAGATAGACCTTACAAGATGTCATCTCCTAACTTGTATGCCACGGATGTCAGCACCTCCCCATTGCAGATCCATGCCAGGGGTATAATGGAGAGGGATTAGACAAGGACTGTACTTTTGCAAATTCCAAATATAAATCTACCGTGGGACTTAAAAATGTATTCCCTGAGTAGATAACCTAGGTTATTAGCATGCTGGAAGGAAGGAGGGAGGTTAATATCCAACAGTTGGTAGTGAGGCTTTTGGATGATTTACTACTGACAAAACCAGGCAGGGATGAAGGAGCAGCATACCCCACTCAAACATATATAATGTCTTCATTGCACATGAAGAGATGTGCTTGGTTAAGCGTGATGCCTCAGCTGCAGATGCATCTTGTCTCATAGGAAAGGAAACTGTCTGCTAGTTCTGGGTGACCATAGCATGCAAGGGAAGAAACTCAGAGAAGTGAGTTGGTTGCACACTTTTTTGGCTGAGGGGTCAGGCAGTAACAGAGATCAAACAGTCTGCTGAAGTACCCCAACACTGCCTGCTACCAACAAAAAAGCTAGAGTATCCTCCTTCCTTTTTGTAACAGAGTTATGCTAATACAAATTGTGAATAAAAAATAACAGATTTTAAGTCTTGGGCCATTAAGTGTTTGGAGGTATCTTTTTTGTTACCTGTGCACACACAAGTTCAACACATTATCACATTATAATTATGTATTTAAAAAAAATTATCAAGAAGCATGGTTTTGTGACTGTAGTCAGCTCATTACTGAGCCATTAGGAAACTGGTTCCAGCAGCAGAACCATTAATGAGTTGGTTTCAAGTAGTGTGTGTGCATTGTGATTGCTTGGCACTCTGCCTCAGTTTAATTAAGATTTTAAATTTACACTGTGCTATTCAACTGTGTGGTGCACTAGTGTTTATAAAAATGAATAGATTTAATTGTCCTCATTTTATAGGTCAGGCCACTGTGTCATTTTGGGGTCAAGGGACAAGACTGAAGCCACCCATCCCCTGAAGCAGTCTGGATCTGTTGCTCAACCTGCAGGGTGGCATTTTTTCTAAAGACAGAGAAAATGATTGGGTGGATGTTGACAAACCCTGAATAAAACAATTACAATAATATTATTTAGTAGAACTACAGTGCCTGGTTTGATGTATTCCTTGAGATTTGCAGAGATCACAAAAAAGCTAAATATCTGTAGAAGAGCAGTGGCCAATTAAAAAATTTACCTTTGACAGGAAAATGATCAAAGTAATTGAAGTGGTTTCTCAGAGCTTTAAAGAAAAAAGAAAGATAATCACATAATAAGAAACAGTATTGTTCCTTCTGTCACACTGTCTTCATATTATCAGCAATTATTTAATGTTCTAATCTTGCAAGCCTTATGAATATGAGCAGTCATGAGTAGCATGAGCAAAGTTTGCTGAAACAATGAGCCTGGAAAGGTCAGATCCCTGCCTTGAATAAATAGGTACAAGTGACAATATTGCTGTTTAATCTCCTAGGTGTGGTGTGCTGCATAGAAGTGCAGCAACTCTTGTGACATTTTCAGTTTTTACTAAATTTTAAATAAAATGTCCTTTCTGTTTTCCAGCTGTGTCTCTTCTTGCTAATGTGTTTTCATAAGCTTTTTTGCTCTGTTTTATGCAGGTGGAAGGTTGAGTGAGTTATGAGTTGGGTGTGTGTTCATCCCCTTTCATAGCATAGTCTCCAAAGAAAATAGTTGGCATGGGAAACTTCCCCAAGAGGCTGACATTTAAAATAACACGCTGTGCTTAGCATGAAGTCACTCCTCAGGTTTATCTCTACCATGCCTCCATTTTTGTTATGAAATAAAACAGTATCAGATTTACATATCTACACAGCAAGAAGTCCTTCCATGTTTTTGAGGTTATAAACAAAACAAAGATAAAACCCAGGCATGTGACGGCACTGAGCACCTCTTTCCTTGCTTTTCCATCCCAAGAGGTTTCTGCAGAGCTGAGTGGGTGCCTTCCACCCGTTTAATTAGACATTCAACTCCCTGCTCTGCTTCCTTGTTCTTTGCAGCAGACTGATGAAACACACAAGCATTTGAAAAATCAGGAGGGACCTCCAGACTTTGTTACAGCTATTTAATTATCGGGTGAGAGATGAGCAACTGCTTTCAGGTACTCTTGGTACCTTTGAGATGGCAGCATAAGAATAAACAACTCCATGATGTTTTAAGGTCCAGTAAATGGTCTGATCACTGCCAGCTCGTAATCAGGAGAGCCAACAGCTTGCCACTGGCTCTCAAGTCAGGCATATCACAGTAGTGGCATACCAGAGACTCTTTTTGCCATTACTGTGTTTATTCCTACAAGTGAAAAGACAAATATGAAACAGAGAATTGTAAAATCTCTGCCTGACCACACCATACTGACAGTTGGCATCTTGAGTGGATGAAAGGAACATTCAAAAGTAAAGGAAACCATGTGATTTCACAAACCCCAGACTCAAGCCTCTGAACTTCATCAAATACAATCCCATGCACAACTAGATCTAAATTCTGCACAATGGTTTTGAACCCTTCTTCTCTATGTGGAGTACAGTTTTCTTCTTTCTCCTGATTTTCCAAATCAAACCCTACATTTCCTTTAATTATTTTTCCTATTTAAGAAAATAATAAAAATAATACCAGTGATGGTGATGGCAGCAGAATTAATTACTTACATTTTAAAGCACTGTACTGTACTCACTCCTGTAATGCAGTTAACAGTCTGTAGGAGACACAGAACACCTTTTTTGGGGGGAAAGAATTGATGGGATTGCTGTCCTTGCTTAGGGGACTTTCCAGCACAATTCTCTGTTGAGCTTCCTGTGGAGCAGGGAGAGGCTGGGTGCCAGAGGTATGTGTGTGGTCAGCCTGAACTCCAGCAGTGGGAGCCACAGCTTTGCCAGGTCCTGCCATGGCTGGTTTGGAAATTCTTGCTATGCTAGGAGGATGAGGAGTGGGAGGGAGAAAACATGACTGTGGGCTTGGTCTTACAAGGACTTAGATAGTTTTTATCTGCCATGTGCTGCACTCAGTGACTTTGCAGTTCTGCAATCTTGTCCCTTCATTAGTCATATCCCTTTGCTGACCCCTCATTAACCAATTCCCATCATTACCTACACCCTGATTTAGAGTTCAGGCACTAAGTAATGGCAGCCATCTAAGCTTGCTTGGCTCTGGGTCATTCTAACAACATGAAGTGCCTACAGTAAAAAAGAAAGAAAAAGGAAACATCTTTCTAAGAAGAACTGTGGAATGGCAAAAGGTTCACAATAATGGATAATCCTTGGAAAAAATGTAGTTTACCATATCCACTGTTATGGGGAGTATGATGGAGCTGGTGCCCCTTCCTCATGCATAGACCCAAGAAAATTAATCAAGCATGTAGAAAGGAATGTACTTGTTGATTATGAATTGACATCATGATAATTGTGATAGTAATCTACAACCACACTCTGTAAATTCACCCTAGCATTTCTAGGCAAAACCAGTCCCATTTCTTACAGATTAATTCACACACCGTGGTCACACACCTTCCTCTTTAGGAAGGTTCCCATGCCAACTGTTCCATCCACACTGACATCTTACAGTGTTTGGAGTATTGCTATGGAAAGAGAAAATGAGTTGCCTGTAAGTCTTAACAGCTCAGGAGGCAGAAGGCATACAAGGGCAAGCTAAACTCACTTGATATTTGGTATTTTTCAGGTCCTGTGAGTTTGGAGGTCTCTGTCAAATTTGGAAGGATTGTGCCTTGCACTGCTGCAATAAAAGTCACAAACCCAGAGACATGAACTCCCCTGGCCTAAACCTGGCTTTGCTGGCAGAACCCAGCTTTAATAGGTTTAATAAACCTATTAGTAGGTTTATTTAGTAGGTTTAATAAACTTACATGAGGATTAGTACTTCTAAACATGATATGCAGCAAAACTGCAAGCAGAGATGCCTTTTATTCCTAAATCACCAAGCCCCAATGACGTGAAACATTCAGAAAATCTAAGGCTGAAGCACAGAGATACCCATTAAAGGAGAGCTTATATAATCTCAATTTAATTCTTCTTCTATTGCCGTGAGTTTAGATGTGGAATAACGTGAGTGGTTCAGGCCAATATGAAAAATGAAATCTAAGCCTCCACACCCATCTTCAAGGTGGATGGAGAGTCATATTCTTTAGTGCCAGCAGATGGCATCCATACACTTTGGGATCCCTGCTTCACACTTCCCACTGCAGCAACGCAACATTTTCCTTTCATTGGAGGAGCCCGAGTCTCTCACACGAGAATATCTCCCAAACTGGTAAGGAACTTTGTTTTTATAAGGGTCACAATATTTCCTGGGCATTGTTCAACCTGATAAATTAGTGCACTGTGAGGATTAGATCTGTTATCTCGGAGATTGAAATTGAAGTTAGATCTCACAGAAATTAACTACTATGTACAATCTGTCATTTGCAAGACACTTTGATGGAATTTGGGAGGTTTTCATGCAGCTGCTCTTTCTTGCTCTTTCATATGAACTTTTCTAAGGTATTTCATTCTTCTGAGTTCTTTGGATTAAGCAGAGTATCTAGAAATCCAAAGATTTTACAAGCTAAATAATTGCATCGTTTATCAAGCATTGCCATAGACAGTTGGTGGGAGGAAAACAGCTCAAGGATGCTTTAGAAGTAGTTTTTCAAGAGTGAATGTGAGACCAAAAAAGATACTATTGTGTTTCTAGTTTTCCAAGATTCACAGAAAACAGTAGGAAATAGCTGTGGTTTGACTGGCCAGCTGATTTCCACTTGCAGAGCAATGAATCTCAACAAGAGGAATTAAATATTAAAACAATTTTGATATGAAAAGGCCTGCTGATAATATACTAGAAAGCAAAATGATTGATGGATCTCACAGAAACCAGACAGATTCCAAAGGACAAACTGAGTATTTGAAACACTCACAAATGTAATGGGAGAATATGTTATTTCTGCCCTCCGTATATCTTCAAAAGAACACGGTAATAAGGGAGATGTAAATTATTTCTAATCTTTTGGGGAGTAAAGATTTCATTAACTTTAGCAAGCTCCAGCTTAGACTGTACGTGGGCACAACACACAAAGTCAGATGCCAGACAGGAAAAAGAGAAAAGCTGCCTCGAACTTGCCAAAGATGTGTCTTGGTAAAGCCAGTGTTACTGTAAAAGCCTTTAGTGGAAAACCTGTGGTGGAACTGAAAGTGAACAGTGCAGTACTTGTGTCTAGAGCTAGGTGGCTGCAGTGGCACACTAAGAATGCCCAGATTTGCTAATTCATTGCGGATGTACTTTTGTTTTGTATTTTGCTTCATGTAAAACAATCTTTTCTGTCTTCATTTCTTGACATTTTTATTATGTACAAATTCCATCTACTTTTGTCCTCTGTTTCTTCTAAATAAAGTTAATCAGCTTTAAGATTTGCATCAAATGGCTTTGAGTAATGACAATTTGAAGCTGAGACTATTTAATTTTAAAGTTAAAAGTTCAGTCTTTTTTCTACATAGCTACTTCTTTAACTACAAAGAACAGAGAGAAGTTAAAAAAATTGAGGTAACTCACATATTTAGAGAAATAGTTTTTTAAAAAGGAATTTTCTGGCAGGCAACCTGCTTTTACCATCATTTTATAACCTTGCAGAATATTATCTCTCAGGAACTCTATTATTACCTTAGGCAGTAAATTGGCACAAAAGAAACTTAACAAAAAGATGAGCAAAGTGTTGGCGGGTGTGGGAGGGGGAATACATCTTAGTAGCTTACACAGGCATTTCAGAAATTTTTTGGGGGGAAGGGGGTGTTCTGTGTTAGTTTAAAAGATTAAAGTTTGCAATCTGCACTAGAGGAGAGTTCTTGCTAAAGTCTGTATACCAAAGCTGGCTTTGAATTGAAGAACTGTTGTAATTAGATTACTGTAAATACAATAAGAAACTCACTCCTGGTGGTCTGGGGAGGAGTGCCATAGGGCACTGGAGAATTGTGTTGGCAGGATTTGGGACAGTTTGACTGAAAGCAGAGAATACAATCTCAAAATCCTTTTAATCTTCCCCCCACCTCCCCAGTTCTTTGGGGATTTGTTTGTCATTAAGTAACAGTCAAAAGATTAAGGAAGTATAAAATGACATTAAAGCTCACAAGTACTTCTATAAAATTATCAGTGCTAGCGTAGTCTTCAGCAGGGTTTGCTTCTGCCAAGGCTGTCTAGAGGCAGGCAAAATGGAAAGAAAAGAGGCAGGCAGGCACAAAAGCAAGCGGCGCGAATGTGGGCTGCGGTGCCCGTTGTGCGCCGAGAGCGCGAGGCCTCGCCGAGCTGTTGCTATGTGTCTGGGCTCAACAAGCTTAAACTTTGCATGGCCCATGCTAAACTAATTTGAGTCAATTTGTCTACATCATTTCAACAATCGTCCTGTGCATTTTGAGTCGTACATACAACACTGCATGATAAAGGCCCACCGAGCAGATGCCGACTGCTCATTCTGCCGTGGTCTGGCTGTTGCTAGCTCTTCACCATGGTTTCTCCATATCCTAGTGACAATGTTAGTTTTTCCATGTTGAGGTTAAGTCTGTGCCTGGCTAGTTAAGACTTTTCTTTACAGAGGACAGCTCCTATAACAACTGCCAGCTCTAAGCATGACCTTTAAAAATGAAATGAGGGAGTGTTAACTGGAGGGTTTTGGTTTTTTTTTAATCTCCCAGGGGAGTTCAAAGGAATACAAGGAGATTTTGCAAGCAATGTTTTTAGCCTGAACAAGAAAGAGACACCAATATCAGAAGATGTTATCATAGGAAAACTGATCTAACCTGCTTACAATTAAATAGTTTCCATGTAATGGGTTTTGACTTACTTGTAAACGTGTACTTTGTAACAGAGTTTTATTTTTGAAATTGAAATCAAACAAGAATAAAGAATTAAAGCAACTCTACTCTGTGCCTAGGTAATATACCAGGACTGATCTGCAGCCAGTGAAAAACAGTATAGCTGCACAGGGAATAAGCTGCATGATCCCATTTTCTACCAGCTAAGGATTTAGTCTTTGAGAGCATCATGTTTGGAAATCTCCAGTATTTGATGAGTAAAAGAGCAAGAAAGAGCAGTAAAAATATATTACATTCTCATGTGTGACAAATCCCTGCAAGAGACATTAAGGTCCATGTGTTCTGTAGGGAGACAAAGGCTATAATTAATGTTTTTATTATTCTTGTATTGTCTTGATAGTTTCTCCGCATACCTCTGCTGAAAAAGGATTACCTGGTAAGTCTTGCCAGTTTGGAGCCCTGGATAACTCCAGGGACAGACTGGTTGTTTTTCTCTCTCTCTAATGAGCTATTGAGGCTTTTTTGTGGCACCCACTAAATGTGGCAGCCATTTTCCTATAGCAAACTTTGATAAAATTTTCAGTTCTGACTGTGTTTCCAAAATAGCATAGCTCTGCCCAAATTGTCAAAATCTTAGGTGGGATTAAACTTTACTGGTTTGAGGGGGTGGAGGAGGGTTCCCCCTTTATTTTTCTTTTTTTTCTTAAACCTAAGATATTTTGGGTACCCTCTCTGAGTTAACCAAAATTTTATTCTGATGAAAAAGAAACAAGGATATATTGTATAAGGAGTCACTTTTTCCCTGTCAGAGAAAAATGCCAGTGAAAATCTCTCAGTGAGGTCCATGTTTTGGAAATTGTTTTAATGCAGAGGTTTGGGGGTTTTTTCAGTATTTGCTCTCCACATGATAAAACCAGAGAGATGGGAAACACAGACTGCTCTAAAAAGGAGCTCAGAGGCTCTTTTTAAAATGCACATCCTCCAGGCGTGCGCTCATCGCATTCTGATTTGAATTTTAGGCCTCAAAATAAAGTTCAGTACTTCATTCAAATTCAAATGAACTGTGCTATGCTCTGGCAGCCTCTAAGGATGTGGCAGGCCTGCAACACCTCAGAAAGTGGAGAGGGCAGCAGCAGCTTGCAGATTAAATTCTGTCTGCCCCAGAACAAATATATTCTAAAATCTCTCTTTTCAGGCAAACTGAGCAGAGAAAAGGTGCACATGAAGATCTGAGATGTTCCTTCCTTCAGTGCTACAGCTAATAAAGATGCAGCAGAGAGCAACATGTTAGAAAAGCTGAGTTTGAACTTCCTGCTGATGGTGGTGCTGTAGGAGTGTTACAGCATTATGGTAGTTCCTGAATTTTGGGAGGGGGATGGACACACTGGATATAGATGCTGAACTCCCCTACGAGATCCAAGGGAACAAGTGTCTGCCACTGTTGAGAGAGTCAGTCACACAAATAAAAGTGAGCTGATTGCAGATAGGTTTACCAAGAGACTTTGAAAGACAGTATCAGCAATAAATCTTAATCTAAACAACGTGGGTTTATTGGATAAATGTGGGAGATGGTAAATGCCTGAAGTTAAAGAAGGAGCTGGGCACTGCAAGGACTCTTTTACACCGCAGCCTGAAGGGACATCTCTGGCCTGAGCCTTGGCTCCTTTTGTAAAGCCTGGGAATCAGAGACAGAAATTTGCTTCCATTTTTTTCAGAGGGGTAACTCAAGTGAGAAATGTTAAACCCTACCCTTTCCTGGGCATAGATGCCATGGCAGATACAACTGCTCTCATGGTAGAGCAGTATCTCCCACCCTCATAAGGCCCCTTTTGTTTCCATGTGTACAACTCATTTCAGTGCAGAAAGCCTCCATCCAGACCAGTGTTGTTCTAAAACAGACCCTTTTCTAAGTATTACATAGCAAGAAATATGCTTCTCAGTAAGTACTCCCTTTCAGACTACTGATATTCCTGGTGTCAGTAAAAGCGTTCATGTCAGTATTAGAAAAATTATCTGAGCATCCATCTCTTCCAAGAGCTACCCAAGCACAATTGTTACCTTATTTATAATGCTTTTTCACCCGCTTGATTTCCCAGTCAACAACAGAGGAAAGCAAAAGCAGGTTCACATAGGAGGAGTTCGTTATTAATTATTAATCCACAAATTATGCAACACCCATAAATCTTATAAAGAGAAAGGTGTCTGGCCTTAGCACTGTGCTGGGAGCTGCAGGACCTGACTCATTCTGTCCCTGACTTACCCCTCCCAACGTGGGAACAGTCACAAATGTCAAGACATAAAAGGCAAAAATTTGCCAGATTTTTCTCTGAAATGGACAAGATCCCCACAGGGAGCCATGGGCCGCCCAAGCCAGTCTCAAACAGCGCTTTGTTCCAGGGGGAGCAGAGCCTGTGAGAGTGCCAGGGCAATGCTGGCCTTACTCTCTGCTCTGGGCATCAGCCCCTTCAACAGGTTGGGAATACAAATATGACAGGAAACATCAATCCCACAAGCACAGATCTCAGCAGAGAGCTCTCTCTGTATCCCAGCAAGGCTAAGCTTTATGCTGTAAGCGAGTGATAAGTGCTTTTCTGCCAACATCACAGCCAGCATGCTGCAGGCCAAGCTGCCACCCAGAGGTCACAGGGAGATGGGGACAGCTCTAAGCCTCCAAGCCACAGCCACCCTTACCCCAGGGCTGATGTTGAAGTCACCAGTGGGGAAGCACTCCAGGCTGAGAAAAGGCTGTCCGTCCATTGGGCATCTCAGCTGCCCATTGTGTGAAGCAGGGGCAGGAGCCTCCTCTGAGCTCCTGGTGCAGATCCTCATGGGAGGAGCAGCCCAGTGCCAAAAGAAAATGGACATCAGCCCTTGGGCCACAGTGCTTTGGAGCTGTTACAGTCACGTGAGCAAGAGGAGCTGGTTCTGCCAAAAAAAGAAAATGTGATGAGCACCTATGAAAAGGGAATTTGTTTTCACAGGATATTGCTCTTCTAAATGATAATGACTGATCTGAAACTCTCACAGATTATTGTCTTTTTTCATCAGAGTTGTCCTTACCTTGTAGCTTCACTGTGACACCCCACAATGGGCAGCAGTTGTTACATAAGCAGTACCCCTGTCCCAAGGCACAGCCATGAGGAACAGATGCCGCTCTTTGGGGTAAACTGAGTTACCCTAATCTGGTTTTATAGAACAACAGTTTAATCTGTGGTGCCATTCCGTTTTTGTCATACAAAGAGCATAAAGCCATGCAGTTTTGCACAATAAGGCTAAAGTGATAAGGTTTTTAATGCTTCCTAAGGTGCCTGGGTCTGGTCTAAATGTTATATTGCACCTTCTCTGGGGAGCAAAACACTCCTAACTTTTTCCAGGACTTGCAGAAGAACCATCTTGCATTGAAAATCCCCAGCTAACCAAAGAATCACCTTTGCAGTTAGCGACAGCCAGAGCCAAGAAACAAAACAAGGTGGGAGAGTCCAGCAAAAGCTCTGTGTTTACTGCTGAGGGAATGAGGCAAGATGGGTGAAGAACGATCGTGCTTTGAGGATGCTGAAAGGGAAAGGAACAGTATTTTGGCCACTGCCTTGTCCTGTCCCACAGTTAAAGTCAGTTTTTAGAAAAAATGCATTTGTGAAATTTGAAATTCCCCTTGTCATCTCTTTATCAGGGTGTGTTGTTATTCCCAAGTGCTGGCCAGAGCATGTCTGGCACACTGCAGCAAATATGTTCTCATGCTGAGTACCAACACTGGTCTTATTTACACATACAACCCCTCATATCTGAGATGCATAAACTGCTTCTAACAGTTCCTTTTCCTCCTTTGTTCAAGTAGACAATGGTCTTTGGAAATTTATTTTAATGCTGCTGAGACAAAATTGTAATTTAATTTACAAATTAATAATTCTTCTTTCCAAATGCCCCTTAGCTCTGCATGCATATTACTTAATAGCTTATCTATATGACTATCAAATTCTTACTGCTCTGACAGAATATAAGTGACCCTTTGCTTGTACAGCAGATCAGCAGAGGGAAAGGGGGATATGGCTCCTCTCCTTGTTCCCTTCTTGCAGAGAAAGGACAGAGTTTGGTTTCCTATGGACCTGTTTGCCAGCTTTGTAGACCACAAGACAGCAAATTAGGAGCTCCTTCTGGGAAGACCTTTGTGATAAAGAATGCAACACATGAAACCCTGCTAATCAGATAAATTATAAAGATACAGCTTAAAACATCATTCACCTTAAAAGTTATTCTGTTCTGTTTTCCGCCTGGAACTCTCCACACCATCTTTTGTGGCAGCACCAGTTCTGGGGAGCTTTGCATTGGGGAACAGTGGATCAACCCTCTACCCCATAACTGAGCTGGCTGCCCAGCCTGCACTGAGGTGAGTCTTCTCTGACCTGGTCTCTGTGGCCTTTTAGTTGGCTCCTGTGGATGAGGGCAAGCAGGAGGGGATGGTAGTGCTGGGCAAGCTAAATAAGCTCTCAGCCTGTCTGGAGGCAATAAAAACCCAGGGTTATTTAATAGGATTTTATTAAATCCCCAGAGGGGATTTAATAGGCTGAGCAGAGAGGATGGGCAACACAGCTCAGCTGGGTGAGGCCTTGACTTGGATATGGAGCCTGCATGGCTGTGGGAGCTTCTTAGTGACAGATCAGGACACCTGGCATCTTCCCTGTCTTTACAAAAAGTACTTGTGGAGCTGAGGGCGGCGGAAAGCAGCAGCTGAGCTGCTCTGCAGGTGTTTCAGGCCCTGACAGGGTGAAAAGGTGTCTAGGGGGGACCAAGGAGCAGCACTGGGGAGTTGTGGATACAGAAAGCACTTCAACCACCGAACTCTAGGGTTTTCCTTATCCCTTCACCTCTTTTCAGTCTCAGGCTAACTCCTGGATTCATTCAGCTCCATTCCTCAGATCTACAGAAAGCATTTTCCAAGGCTTCTGCCATTTTACTTTGCCATTTTAAAAATGACTTTCTGAATAAGTGAAACAATTAAACAATACAGTAGGACCTACCATGTCAAATTATAAATTAATTGAAAACATTTAACTTTGAGAACAAACCCCATCACACACACACACACACCCTTCACCCTGCAAAAGGCAGCATTAGAAACATTCTTGTATTTAGGTAAAAATGTGAGGCCTAAGCAGTTAAAAGGCAATGTGCTCTAAAGCCTCCCTAATCTATTTTCCTCCAATTCTTTCCACCTCTAAGAAGCTTGTGGAGTTAGTTGTCGATTAACATTCAGGAAGATTGTACTCTGTCTCCAGTTCATTGCTCTCTTGTTGGCTTATTGTTATTCAGAGCCCATTTATTGTAGATGAGCCATTCATTTTCCTCTAATTGGATGGGATTGGATTTCACTTTCATTGTTAGATGCATTGAAAACCCTGGAGGGGCTACAGGGATCAGCCCAGGGCGGGGGAGATTTAACTTAGCACAAAGTTTAGGTTGCAGCTGAAAGAAGCTACAATTTATTTTTTTTTAAATTTTGAGGGTTTTTACATGCAAATGCCTCATGGCTAGATTTGCAAAGTCTCCCCTGTGACCCCAAACACCTTATTGCATAAAATACTTTTGGTATTTTTATATAGTTCCTCACTAAAACACTCATGACATAGGGATTGTTAGGAAGATTTCTGAGCATCAGAGATCCAGCAAGGCCTTTGCACCAATGTCCCTCCTCAGGATCCAACTGGCTGACTCCTTCAAATGTTTGGATTAAATCCTTTCACAGTTCTGGGATTCTGCACTGTAACATCCTCCCCTGACAATCTGCTCAGATTCCTTTGGGGCAATACAAGGGTCTGCGAGAAGAAAGAATTTTCAGAACTGCATGCTGCAGCAGCTGTTCTGTCCCCATCTAAGGACAAGCTGAGGATGGAAGAGCCTGCCCAGCATTGATTCACAGCCTGGCTTTGTGGCAGAGACACAAGTCTGGACCAAATCCCTCTCAGCCATGTCATATCTCACTCTGAAGGGCTGGCAGCAGAGCTAAAAATACACCTGGGTACCCATGTGTGCATGTGTGTGTGTATCTCTCTCAGATTCCTGTGGGGGGGAGCTCCCTTCCCAGCTGGAAACATGGGGTGACCATGGCAAGGGTGGCACAGTCACTCTGGGCTCCTTGATTGCAGCACCTCACCAGGCAGCTCAGGGTTTGCAGTGGGACAGAATAGCCCTCCTTGTTCACCTGGAGAAACATCTGCTGGGAGCAGGCCTCGGGATCTAACTACCAGAGTTAGAGGCAGTATTAAAATTAAACTCAAGGGTTTGATTGTCAGAAAAACTGGTCTGTGATCTGCTGCAGGTTGCTATGGAGTCAGTGTAGAAATGGGAAGCCCTGGAGGATGAGTGATTCCTCC